TGAATGTTCTTTTTTAATTTACACACATACATACAAGCATGCGTGGCATGCATGCTTACATGCATACTTTATTCTCCCCACAAGAGCTTTTCAGAATAAAGAATAAACAATTATTGAAAATTATCTCTTGCAATGATAACAGTAAGCAAACTTGTCAAAAATATGTTTTAATTAATTTTTAATAGAATCACTTGACTAGATATCGACATATATTTAACGGTTATCCTGCGAAATTGTGCAGAATATTGCCAGATACTTAGGCAACGAGGCCGCAGACCGAGTTGGTTAAAATCAGGTGATACTCCGCAAGATTGAGCAGGATAATTGTTTTATTATTCAACAAATTGTCAACAAAACGCATTTTACACTTAGAAAAAGTGTGGTTAGACAGGAAATTGTAAGATTTCGGACGAAACTTGACGAACCTACATGTATCACAGGATATCTGTTATGTACGGATGACAGAAATCGAGCAAGCACTGGCCATATATGGGCATCACGCGAATTTGTTGAATAATAAATATATATCTAGTCTGTAGCATGCCATTACTACTTCCTCTACATGGGATGTAAGTGCTTTACAGGTTCATGTCATTTTTCCTAATAGTTCGTGTTACACATTAAAACGTGGCTAGGATTGAATGCTGAGGTGCATAAGTTACTCTTTATGAATTCTTAATATGGGTTAAAATAGATTTCAGGTCAAAATGATTTGAAACTAGTTTACAGTAATCCTGAAACATTGAAAATACAGTTCTAAAGGCCTATTTACACGGTACGACTTTGTCGCATGCGACAAGCTTACGACAGGTCTACAACATGACTTAGGACAATTTACACACCCACAACATTTTCACCTACGACATGCCAAAATCGCGTGCAATTCCACTCGTTTCGGCCGCGGTCATTGTTTCAATAATTTGCAAGAGAAGGAAAAGAACCTCTTCCTCGCTCCACAGTGATATCATATTCTCTGTTTCCTCATCTGAGAATGTATTTTTCGCTTTGGAAGCAGTCTTCGACTTTCTGGAGGCGACTTCCTCCGCCATTTTGACGCAAGAAAATTTCACCTTCCTCCCCTACTCAGTAGAAATTTTTCACAAAATACGTCATTTTCTATCAATTTCGGCTACGATTGTCGCAGCGTTTTAAAACAGGTTTTAAAATCCTACGACATTTTTCGTGACGTGCATGACAGTTGTAAGCAAGTGGTAGGTTTGATTTACACGATACAATTCATGTTGTAGGCCTGTTGTAAGCTTGTTGCATGCGACAAAGTCGTACCGTGTAAATAGGCCTTAAAAAGTTTGGAGACCATTTTGACCTGAAATCCATTTCAAACTACTTTCACTACATAATTTTTAAACAAATGAATGGCGCAGTGCAAGACTAACGTACCCGGCCTAAATGCTTGAATTAGCGCCCTGGGTGCTTATTTAATTTTCTTAGGAGAGAGTCAGGGGCACTAATTCGAAGGGGGTGCTTATTTTGTTTACCAATTTTTGGCCTCAAAATGACACTATCCTTATTTCTAGTAACCCAAACTGTACCAAATAAAAATTAAAAATACGTTATAGAAAATTCTGAATCTTGAAACGTTCTCAAGCTGTTTTCGAGTTGCTGTCAAAAGAAGCTGGCATTTGGGAGCAAAGTTTTCCTACAGCTCCCGTGGATATTTCTATTGAGGAAATGAGGAGCAAACCCGTTCGACTTTAAAGAACAGTAATTTTGATCTATTACGAATGTCACATTCATTAAAAGTACCGTACATGTCTCGTATATTGTCCCAATTTTCTCTCAGGGGAGGGAGGGGGCGCTTATTTGAAGGGGGATGCTTATTCCAAATTTTAAGCCATAGGAGGGGCACTAATTCGAAGCGGGGCGCTTATTTGAAGCTGGGTGCTAATTCGAGCATTTACGATATGTGACTGATTCTCACTATGATTTCAAGAAAAGAGTGAAGGGAAATATATTTCATAATGTTTTCACAGCAGTGGAGATAAGAACACAAGAGCCAGGGTCCAAGACCCAGACTCTGTTTTTTTTTCTTTTTTCAGGTAAACTTCTTTTTATGATTCCTGTTTCATTTTCTCGAAAACAAACTGCAAACAAGCATATTAAAGGCACTTAAGAGGAAAATTTTTTCCTAGCCAAAATAGACACTTGCATTAGTCTAGCTTGCACCACACCATTCAAATATTCATCATTACCTATATTAATAATGTACTCAAGTTAGCGATAAAATTAAAAACATTGTTTATACGGAATTTTACTTGCCCTTTTTGCCCTTTTCTCAAGGAGCTCTCTTTGGCGTGTTGGGTTGGTCTGTCCCATACTGTTTATTTTTTTCCCAGTCAAATGATTTTTCTGGAAACTCGGCTCTACAGCCCTCCATCTTGCATCTCTTACTGGCAGAAGGGCTGGGTTGGTTGCAACTTTTACATATCTACGATAGTTCAACCAAAATGCATCACTGAACAAGCAATCAATCAAGCAATAAACCAACAAGTCCACACAGTTTATAAGTTACATTGATAACGGTAATGATATCTAAATTTAGGACAAGGATATAGACACACACACACACACACACAAGCAACTGTTCAGTTGGGAATTTATGTTGGAGCAAGAAACATGAATATTTGACAATAAAAAGAATATAGTCAGGGTTGATCACATAAAAAAATTAAAAATGAAAATGAATATTCACATTTCAATAATTTTATAATTGTATATGGCTAGTTGATACACTTTTAAGTGAACAAAGTTAAGCAAATAAAAATTGTTTTCTTTATTCTCATTATAACAATAACAATAACAATGATAATGATAATAAAAACAAAAATAATAATAGTAATAATAATAATAATTATAATAGTAATAACAAAATAATGTACCTTATATGGTGAAATAATATTATACCTTCCTTCCTCTCTTCTTAGGTAATATGCCTACTTGCCCCTGGCTTAGACTTGCTGGGTTAGAATCTGAAGAATAATATAAATTCGTATTTTGAACGAGTTCCTTGAGCTTCTTGAAGCTACATGTTTAAATAAAGTATTGTATGGTATTGTATTGTATTGTATAAATTAAGATCAATGAACCAGACTGTTTAATTCTGTTATAAAAAAAAAATCTGCACAAAAGGGCTTTCCAGTCTTATATCATTATGATATTTACAACGAAATATTTTTCATTCACTCACATGTCCAATTCTTATAAACTGGGGGTCACCCAATTTATAATTTGCTCTAAGTTATCCCTGGCTGGAATGCTTCTCTTGGACATTATTACATGATATTACAATGACTTTGTAACATTTTAAGGAAGAAACTTTTGCCCATCTTTAAATGAGTGAACCAATTCCAAATAATTCAATTTCAATTCTATTTCGACACCAGTCCTACTCACTAGTGAGTCACGTGAGATATGTGCGAGTAGCCCGAGCGATCAGTTGCGCGCGTAATTCCAGAGCGGTCGGTCGTGTATTTTTTCCAGTGCTTGGATTATGGCGGACGAACATGATCTAATACTTTCCACTGAGGCGGAGGACGAACTCTTAACCGTTAAAACGGACCCTAAGGAAAAGACTCCAACTGATGTCCACCCGGATCCCATGTTTAAACGGCGTAAACACTGTTCCAGAGACGAAATGAGTGCCTCCGATGGTTCAGAGCACGATGGAGAAGACTCTGATGCAGACTTGCAGGCCCTTTGTGGCACTGAAGCCGACGGAATTTCCAAGGATAAACCACGTGCTCCACTTGAGCAAAACGATGGCAGCAATGACCCATTGTTGTCAGAAATCGCAGAGGATTTTCTCAATGCAGACGACTCAGGTCCGGCTATTGAGAAACAACTGGCGGACTTTATCAACAACCTGTGGTCTAAGAAATTGCCAGACTCGAAACTAAAGGATAAGTCGGCGAAGTATTTACGCCCAGCGAACTGTGAGACTCTCACAACACCGCGGGTTAATCCTGAAATCTGGGATAAACTGAGCCACTCAGTGAAACAGCAGGACCTCAGGTCCAACTCAATCCAGAAAACGATTGCCACAGCTGGTGCTGCAATGTGCAAATCCATTGGGATGCTGCTAGAAATGAAGAATTCGAAGCAGCCGAAGTCAGACTCTGACATTCAGAAACTTGTCAAAGTCAACACCGATGCGGTTGCTCTCCTAGGGCACGCACATATCGACCTGTCCCACCGTCGCAGGGAGTCGCTCAAACCGCATCTGAACAAAGATTATGCTGGTCTGTGTGCTTCCCATGTTCCTGTAACAGCTCAGCTGTTTGGAAACGACCTGCAAACCCAGCTGAATAATATACGAGCATCCAACAGAGTAAGCTCCACAGCAGTTGGGAATCGCCACAAAAATTCGAAGGGACACCCTTCCCGAAACTACCAAAAATTTGATTGGCGAAGTAAGCCTTTTTTAGCCAAAGGCCGTCAGTGGAACTCGAAGCCACTTCAAAAACCCTTCTTCCGACAACAGGACCAAGGGAAGAAGCAGCAATGATTTCCGCTGACACACTTGATAATTTACAGGTAAATAATCTTGTCTTGTTTGAGTGAAACATATGAAACATATCTTTGCGAATAAGGTGCAAAGCTTCAGGGGTGGCCAACTGACACATTTCCTTGGTAAATGGAAAGAACTAACTTCCGACTCAGAAGTCCTTAACTGTGTTAGGGGTCAGTACATTGAATTTTCCACACAGCCCACAAAAAACTTGGTTTCCAAAAGGAAAACATTCAACATCAGTGACTCACTAGTTATTGAAGCTGAAATTAAAAAATTGCTTGACAAAGGTGTCATTGTACCCACTCAACATGAAAGTGGAGAATATATTTCGCCTATTTTTGTGACAAATAAAAAAGATGGATCATCTCGAATGATCTTAAATTTGAAAAGCTTTAACCAGCATATTGAATACCAACATTTTAAAATGGACTCGGTCTGGACAGCAATTAGGCTCATGACCCCAAATTGTTACATGGCGTCAATCGATTTAAAAGATGCTTACTATTCAGTCCCTATTGCAAAGCCACACCAGAAGTACCTCAAATTTGAGTGGAACAACATGTTATTTCAGTTTACATGTTTTCCCAATGGGTTGGCCTTTTGCCCTAGGAAATTTACCAAGCTAATGAAACCAGTCTTTGCCACCCTTCGACCGCTTGGCCACTTATCGTCAGGTTACATAGATGACTCCTGGTTGATGGGGACAGTCTGGGATGATTGTGCAAAAAATGTGGTTGACACGGTAAAATTATTAGACAGTTTGGGATTTGTGGTACACCCTGAGAAGTCGGTGTTCATCCCAACTCAAAAACTGGTATTTCTGGGTTTTACTCTAGACTCAGTTAACATGCAAGTCTACCTTACACCTGATAAGGCTGTTAAGCTAAAACAGGCAGCTACTGTTATGTTGCACTGTAAAAAGCCTACTATTAGGGATGTAGCCAAGGTCCTTGGGCTTATAGTATCTAGCTTTCCTGGCGTTGCCTATGGACCCCTTCACTACCGCTATTTAGAACGAGATAAAACTATAGCTCTTAATGCTAGCAAATGGAACTTTGATGCCACAATGTGCATATCCAGCCAAGCAGGTGAAGAGCTTAAGTGGTGGATTGAATCAATCGAGACTGCATCCAACCCGATAAATCGAGGAGAAGTAGATATTACCATTACTTCTGATGCCTCAAAACAGGGGTGGGGTGCAGCAACCAGTGATTCTTCAACTGGGGGACTTTGGACTGTTGAAGAGGCTAAGGAGCACATCAATTTTCTCGAAATGTTAGCTGTATTCTTTGCCTTAAAATCATTCAGTTCTTTGACTCATGGCAAACATGTTAAGGTCATGGTCGATAATACTACCACTGAATCAACTATTAACCAGATGGGTACAAGCCACTCCCCTAAGCTAAACAAGCTAACTAAAGACATATGGGATTGGTGCATTAAGCACGATATATGGCTGACTATGGCTCGTATACCAGGGTGTGAAAATGTAAAGGCAGACAAAGAGTAGCGTACATTTAGGAGGTGTACTGAATGGTGCTTAAAGAAAACTCTCTTTGCAAGGGCTTGTACCAAGCTCAATGTTACCCCTAACATCGACCTATTTGCGTCTAGGATCAATTGCCAGATCACGCCCTATGTCTCTTATAGAGCAGACCCAGAAGCTTTTGCCATCAATGCTTTTCACATGTCTTGGCAACACTACTTATTTTATGCTTTTCCACCATTTAGCCTGATAACAAGAGTTCTTCAAAAGATTCAAGAGGAGAAGGCAACAGGGCTTCTACTTGTTCCAAAATGGCCAACTCAACCGTGGTGGCCCAAGTTAATGCAGATGTTAATACAACCACCAGTACAGCTTCCAAAGGACAGAGACACTCTGTTCCTACCCAGCAGCCCACAGGAACCTCATCCACTTCACAAGAAACTGTGCCTGATTCTGTGTCACTTGTCCGGAGATACCTCAACGGCAAAGGCCTTTCGACAACAGCTACCACAGTCATGGAACACTCCTGGCGGTCAGGCACTAGAAAGCAATATGCTACTTACCTTGAGAAATGGAGACGCTACTGTAGTACAAGGAGCATTGATCCCATTTGTCCCCCTGTAGAGGAGGGAATCAATTTTCTTGCTGAACTCTATGACTCTGGCATAGGATACAGTGCTATTAACACTGCGAGGAGTGCCATCTCATCTATTGTTACATTGGCTAACAATATGTCGTTTGGTACCCACCCCATGGTGTGTCGTTTCCTCAAAGGCGTGTTTGAATTGAAACCTTCCCTCCCTAAATACAAGAACATTTGGGATGTCAACACTGTCCTGGCTTACTTGTCAAACCTTCACCCACCTCTGGGCTTAACTTTGAAGGATCTCACCTTCAAAACGACAATGCTTTTAGCTTTGTTATCAGGGCAGAGGTGTCAGACACTGCATTTGCTTTCTGTTAGCAATATGGTATTGAAGGACGATAGCTGTGTATTCATCATCAACAAACTTTTGAAGACCTCTCGGCCAGGAAAGCATGTGTCAGACTTAACATTCACAGCCTACTCACCAGACAACCGTCTGTGCCCTATCGTCTGCTTATCTGAATATGTCAAAAGGACAAATCACCTTAGGAAAGGGAGTGACCAGCTGCTAGTGAGTTTCCAAAAGCCTCAGAAGCCAGTTTCAACTGACACGATTTCTCGATGGCTAAAAACGGTTCTTGAAAAGTCAGGAATAGATACCTCAGTCTTTAAGGGACATAGCACCAGGGCAGCTTCTGCATCTGCAGCTGCAAAGTGTAAGGTTCCATTGTCTACAATCATGGATAACGCAGGCTGGTCGAATGCGACAACCTTTGGGAGATTCTACAGGAAACCCATCGTCACATCAAGTAAAGCTTATGGACAACTCCTATTGGAGAACCTCCACACATAGGATTGTTACAAGACATTTGTTACTGTTAACCAGTACTCATTACCACA